CCTAAAATTCATTATAAAATAAATATATGAAGTTTTATTTTAAATTGGTTCTTGTACGAATACTTATTACATTGGCTGTATATTAAAATAGACAATGAAATATGTAATAAAATTCGTAACGAATAGACTACGGATGTTTATGCAAATTCGTATTTTTACAGGTACAGATGATGAATTGAAATTTAAAGAAAATTGTGTTTTATCTTCGAAACAATGTAACGTGTACTTTATTATTGATATTTTGTATATTTTTGCATTCGTGCAGATCCCATATTTCCACTTGCCATAAATGCATAAACATTTGCAGTTTAGTAATGAAATACATAACAATACATATAATAAAATACATATGAAAATATCTAATTCTAAAACATACAATTCTAATACATATGAAAATATCTAATCTATATTTCATTTCTATAATATGGAATATATAACAAATTACGTATTGAAATGCATAATACATAACGGGTGATAAACAATATTGTAGAATATTGCCACGTTTGACCATGAGCTAAACAAGATTAGCAAATGTGTTCTTACGTTCAAGTGAACATGAATATGTAAACAAGGTGAATTTTAATGAGACCATTGATCCGTTCTGCATGAATTAAGGCCTCAAAGCGAAGACTCTGAATACTTTCCATTCATCTTTGGAAAATACGACGGGACCAGGTTCTCTGCGGTTTATTTCATAATAAAAATTTACGTATTATTACTTGTTTAATCCTCAATTACTGTTTAAAAGTACTGTTTAAAAATCTAATACAATATATCACGTACGGGAAAATAGAATATAAACTATTACAAAATTAATCCGATCTATTATATTCTAATTTTATTAGGTTTTTCTTGAGCGAATGAGAGAAAGAGAGTCGAGAGAAAGTGGAAGAGATGGGGATAAAGGGAGAGAAGAAAGGAATGAGATTTATTAGAGCGGAAGTAACCTCTGTCACGATTTATTGATATTAATGCTTCTAATATCTTTTAATGTGTTGAGATTAAATTCGACACAGTTATAAAATACGTTGTAAGATATCGTCCTACGGACATCGGCACGTTGATAGTGTAAACATATAGTGTCGATATTATATTTCATTTCTATAAGATTAATCGTAACATATTATTATATTAAATAAAAGATTTTGCAATGATACGTGTCGGAGGTAATTAATAAATTTGAAAAAATTATCCTAATCGTAGGATCAAATTAAATAATTGTTATAAGCTTTTATTACATTATCTGGCACGGATAGTTATTATATATTCAATTATTTATGTAGCTACTATAATGATACAACGTATATCGTACATACAGTCAGTGTAATATAAAAAGTGTAATATACATTCGTACAAGAACCATTTATTTTAAATTGGTTGCTTTACGAATACTTCTTACACTGACTGTATGTGTATGTATATCGTTATAAAAGATATATATGAATGAATAGAAAGCGACTCAACGTTGATGAAATTTAATGTTGATAAAATTATAGATTGTATATCAATACATATTCGTATAGTTACCATAATAATACAATTTGTACCGTGCACATAATGTGCGCCTATATTATTATAATTGACATATAATTAAATAGGAAACTATTTAATACAAGGTAAAAGACGTGAACATTGATAAAATTATAGATTTTAATCGCAAGAAGTGTACGTATGTTGCGTCAACGAGTGATGTTACGCGAGTTTTTGATAACGTTAGATTCTCGTGCAACCGACGAGTGATAAATTGCAATTACGAAACTTGAAAAAAACTAGGAAGTTACAGAAATTACTGCCGTACCGTCGCTAAAATATACACACACGGTTGGGTAGTTAACGTTGACGATGAGTCCTCATACTCATACTCGCTGAAACAAGAAAACAGAAACATGTTGAGGAAAGAAACGTTTAAAAGATTGGAAAACCGGTTTACCTGGTTACTGTTACTTTTCTTTTGTAAGTCTTCTATTATTTAATTCTATAATATTAGCATCCGTACAATTTTTGCCACTATGCGTGTTATAAAGCATATGGTTTGCGTGGAACGGATGTATCTATAGATTTTTTAACGATTAAAAGACGATTTCCTTCGAATACATCGAATCGATGGAACTGAATGATTAATGTTATATTTCTAGCCGGGGTATGTTAATATATTTTTATTTGCATATTTAACCATTACAAGTATTTATATATAATTTATATTTAACCTATATAAATATATACAGTGAGTGTAGAATGTATTCGTACACCGATCAATTTCCCAAAAAACTTTTCTGTGAATTTGTAGTTTCTTAACTTCTTTTTTTCTAATCAATGGTATTTTACATATTCTCGGAAGTCTCTAATATAGATATAGTCCAAACAACATTTACTAGTTAATATAATTTGTGAAATTAACAAAAAAAGTGCGAAAAGTGGGTAAAAGTATAGAAGCAATAAGTATTTGTACGATTCTTATGACGAACCATTTACAGTAGAGTTTGTAACGTAAACACATTAGTTTATTGCTCCGTGCGAATTAGAAAACATCAAATTTCCAGTAAAGTACTTTTAAACAGTTGCCCGAATACTTATTGCTTCAACATTTCTATCGATTAATTGTTTTTTCTTGTTAATTTCGCAACTTACATAAATAGCTATTTTTTTTGTTGTAATTTATCTATTCTAGAGATTTCCGAGAATATGTAGAATGTCATTGTTTATAAAAAATAAGTTAATAAATTACAATTTTAAACAGTTTTTTTGGAAATTGATCGGTGTACAAATACTTTCTACGCCCACTGTAGGTTATTTTCACCTGTGGATATATTCGGTGTAGAAATTAATTTGTTCAAATTCAACTAGTACGTTAAACATTTTAAGACAGAAATGTACATTTATAATTTATTGATAGCCTTGTATTAAGACACTTGTCATTCCAAACAAATTTTAAACCGATATTTTAAACAGTTATTATGTACATTGACAACAGTCATTCATCTGGTTTCCAAAAATGGGCCTTGAAATTCAATCTTTCTTAATTGTATTTTAATTAAAAATACTTTAATTTGTCATTTTGTTATGTTCAAGTACCAGGATTCATAGTAACGAATCACACAGATTATACTTCAAAATTTGGTTGTATAACTACACATGCTCTCTAGGAAAATTAAAAGTTGTATGGTTTTTCTTTTCGAGTAAACAAAGAAATAGTAAGTTTACTTTAGAAAGACTTAATTTCTACACCTAACAGTATCTTTTATTTATTTACTTAAAATATTCAGACTAGTATCACGCTTGACAAATCCTTCCTCTATTTATGTAATTTTTTTTTATTTGTATTATCCAGTTCATTGCTTGATGTGCACGATAATATTATCAAGTAAATTGTCTTACATAACTGAATATACTAATACTTTTATATGCGCGTTACATATTGACTTAATTGGGGACAGGACAATTATTACTATAATTAGTAAATAATTGTAAGTCAAGACCTTCGATTACATAATACCATTAATCATTCCGTAATGAAAATGAAAATGAAACCTTGAACTGGAAAACTTTCAGATGTAACTGATTAGTCTTAGAGACTCGATCATGTAGTTGGCTTATGGATTATGTAGTTACTATTTTCGTTTTCGGATCATTCTAAATAAGCGAAAAAGTAATCCATATAATATAACATAAAATATAAATAGTAACTAGATCACGTTGGAAAGATGAAATGGAGCGAGTGTCGCTTTATAACCCAACAGAAATACCTCTCACATCGAAAATTAACGTATAGAAAGGTAATTGCGATAAAGGAATGGAACCGGGTGGCCATCGTAGCGTTCGCTACTCTTGAAAAGGGTACTATATTTAGATCGGATTTTGGCACAGTGCCCACACGTTAAATATTTTCTGTTCAATCGTTGAAATGAAAATTTGCGAAGATATATGGTTTTTACAATTAACAGATGTACGCTTAAACCATTGGCAACTTTCGTGAATGTAAAAATAAACATTTTTGAAATATATTTTCTTTTAGTTGAGTAATAACAAGAAAGTATTTCACACGAATTGTATCCACCTACGTAGTTTTTCAAATCATTCATCACTCTCGTTTGCTCGTCTCCATAAAATACACTGCATTTAAGTGCAGAACATCATAAATATTTTGGTTGAATTAGAAGAGGGAATGTATAAAATAGAAATTAAATGGTTTCAAAGTACGAAAATGATTAGGATGTTTTTTTTTTTTTAAATCTTCAGTGGGATTAGTGTATTTTTCACTACTATGAATAATTTTTAGCCCTCATTCTCTATACCTGTAGGCAGGCTACTTTCGTCCAGTAGTATTTATCTCAGCTAGAGACAAGTATTTATTCAAATAATAACTGGAATATTCGTTTGAACGTAAAGATATATTTATAAGCGGTAGATACTTGTTTGTGCTTGTAGAAATGACATTTGATCAAATCATACGTAGTATAATTTTATATCACACGCACACGCACGTCCACGCACACATATTTAACATGTTTAGAGAGGTGGAATATACACATTATACTGTATACTAATTGTATGCAGTGTATTATACTACATATACTAATTTTGCATGTAGTATAATTTTTAAATTCTATAGAATATCCTCTACTATTTTCCACCTCTTTAAACCTATTGTTAATGACACCTAAACGAATTGTCTAAACATTGATCCCTGTGGATCATACCTGCATGTACATTGGTCTATTTGAATAAAAATAGAAAAACAAAGATAATCGTTGCACATTAGTTTGTTGTGGTGGCATTAATATTTATTAGAAATTCGGAATTTATTCATTTGTTTAACACCTTTGGAGTCTATAGGCAGAACGAATATCCTAAGAGAGTAGAATTGGGGAAGGTACTTAAGCTCCGGAGCTTAGCTTTGAACTCTACCGATTTCAGCTTAGAATAATATTAGTAAAAGATTCATTAGTAGTAAAAGATTAAAGATTTTTCTAACATCTAGCATTTCTATTTTTATTTTTCAGCCATCACTGGAACTTTCTACACTATCTTTTTCGCCGTATTGGCCCTACTCTTTGCCATTTGCATGAAAGGGCTATTGGCTACTCTAAATCCTGAAAGACCAAGATGGACTCTCGATGAAAGTTTGATAGGAACCAATCCAGGTAACGCCAAAAATCATATTTCAACTTTGAAAACATTTCTTACAATAATAGTATTAAATATAATACCTGATTATAGTATATAACGTATAGTATATGTATAATTTTAATAGTAAATAATAATAAAAGAATAGTATTAAATATAATAAAGTACCTGTTTTCTCTTATACTTGCTGGCCACTTCCTTAAACAGGGATTTAACGAATATCATATGTTATAAAGTCAAATTATAAGACTTCATAATCGGATAATCGAGAGGTCAGTATGTTCCAGCGAGAAAATATAACTTTAATCGTTATTTATATTTTTATTTTTATGTCTCTCCGTAATAAGACAAGTCTTTCGAAATTGCACAATTTTTATTGATTTATTATATTTGTAAGTGGCGATAAGAACAGCGTTTAAACCGGTTCAGACACTTAAAAACCGGATTCTATGCAGTATGCGTATACTATTGAGTTACTTATCAGAAGTGAATGCTTATCAGATCTGATTGTGGGTGCTTATCAATTAGCGCATCGCGTTGTTTACCGTCCAACACGAATGTGATGACATACAGTGGGTGTAGAATGTATTCGTACACCGATCAATTTCCCAAAAAACTTTTCTGTGAATTTGTAGTTTCTTAACTTCTTTTTTTGTAATCAATGATATTTTACATATTCTCAGAAGTCTGTAAGATAGATATAACCCAAACAACATTTACTAGTTAATATAATTTGTGAAATTAACAAAAAAAGTGCGAAAAGTGGGTAAAAGTATAGAAGCAATAAGTATTTGTACGATTCTTACGACGAACCATTTACAGCAGAGTTTGTAACGTAAACACATTAGTTTATTGCTCCGTGTGAATTAGAAAACATCAAATTTCCAGTAAAGTACTTTTAAACAGTTGCGCGAATACTTATTGCTTCAACATTTCTATCGATTAATTGTTTTTTATCGATTCTTGTTAATTTCGCAACTTACATAAATAGCTATTTTTTTTTTTTTTTGTAATTTATCTATTCTAGAGATTTCCGAGAATATGTAGAATGAGATTGTTTATAAAAAATAAGTTAATAAATTACAATTTTACACAGTTTTTTTTGGAAATTGATCAGTGTACGAATACTCTCTACACCCACTGTACTATTGAAATAAATCAAGTGATAACTTTAAACCATTTCCCTCAATATTTTATTCATTAAACACGGGTGCTTGAATTCATCAAGGCCAATATTGAATAAAAGTAGAATTTTTCATTTTAAGAAAAAGATTTTTCATTTACGATTTATCTATATCTTTTTATCAACAAGCTTGCCATTCGCAAATAAATCGATATTTCAAACAATTCTTGTGCACATCGATAACGTTGTTCATTCAGTTTTTAGAAATTTCAGAGAAATTCACCCCACCATACAATAAGAAATTCCACTATCGTGATAGGAGATTATTTTAATAAAAAATAGGCAGAAATACTGGTCAAAGTTTATATATTGATGTATGTATTAAACATTTCTGTTAGCATTTTGGTATCGGCGAGAAAAATTTCTAGATATTAACATTCTTCGAGAAGTGGTGAAATGTATTAAAAATAGATTCATACTAGCCACGTGTGAAAATAGTATGGAAGTCAAGAATTTGTGTATAACCTACTGGTCGTGAACGCAAATTTTTTCTCTGTAAACAAATTTGTTGGTCTCCTCGTAAATTTACACAATTCTTTAAGAGGTCTGTCTAGTTTTCGAAAACAAAAGAAATTTGTTCTTTGCGTAAAGATTGCGTCTTCTTCTTTCCGTACTTTTTCTTTTGCTAATTTTTTAAAATCTCACACAAGATGGATACCACTTACTATTAACCATCTTGTTTGTAAATAGGCATGGGATTCCGACCGATCTCCGATAATCCTCTTGAGAAATCATTGATCTGGTACAGTTCATCGGATCCTGCGTCCGTGCAAAAGTGGACCAGTCTGTTGGATATATTTTTAAAAGGTAAATTATTATAATATATTATATGCATTATTATTATAATTATGTATATATTGTATGTGTTATAATTAACACCTATACGTATATCATATATCAGTATACATATATCACTGACAAAGTATATATACATGTTTAATATAAGATTTACAATAAGAAATTTCCCCCAAGTATTTAAAAATGCAATAACTTTCTGTACTTGTTATAGTTTTTGTTATATGACGTTAAACATGAAGAACGGATGAACAAAGCGATAGAGTATTTCTATAGACCTAATATTTGTGTATCAATTATAACAATAGTACAATAATTTATGGTTCGTCCCGACACTTATATTTATGTCAATACTGTGGATTTTCCGCAGAGTACACCAACTCGACTCTTTTACCAAATGGTGGTAGAAATCAACAGATTTGCAGTTACGATACACCAGTGAAGCCTGGACATGTTTGTGCGGTTGATGTGAACAATTGGGGACCATGCTCGCCCGAACAACAATATGGTTTCAATAATTCGGCTCCTTGTGTCTTTCTTAAATTAAACAGGGTATGTTATCGACAAGTACTTCAATAGATGATAGTTTCTTTTAAGGGCGTCTTATCATCTAGATTTGAAGTGAATCCATTCCTTTTTAATTACACTTTCTTAAACGTGTATTGTGAAATTAATTAATTTGAAACATTGGCAAATAAAAAAGTAACCATACTATAATAGATTAAATACAAAAGTGTAAGATGCTGACCGAATATAAAGTGAATGATTTGATTGACTCCAAATTAGAAGATCCTGTTAACAAACATAATACAAATTATTAAACATAACATACTTTTATTCCGACAAATAAAAAAATTATTTAAATGCCAAACTAGAAATTAGAATGAAGACTACTTAAACGCATATTTTGTATATCCAAATTAAAATAAATTTAAAAATGTTCAACTCCACCCTTATTGTATACATAATCGAATTACATCCACTACTGAAGATTCGAATTTGTATCTTTGTCACTATATTGTATAGTTTTAATTTCATTGGTAAAGTCTCGTCAGTACACTGGTAATATTCTCATGAAGAGATAATAAAAAAATATTAAAATTAAAATTTTCAATAGTGGATGCCTGGAAAAAATTCGATACCTTGCCCGGATACATAGGAAACGAGTGGAACCGATTTGTTGGCACACAAGCGGGAAACATTGTATTACCTTTAACATTCGAAATTAACAAAATATATAAACGTAAGAAACATAATTAATAACAGGTAAAACACATTTCTTCATTTGTATCATAAATTAAATATTAAATTTTCAGATATACGATTGGATACCGGATTTTTATAATGACACTAAGAATTTGCCGAAAGAAATGCCAGCAACACTTGTTGAACATATCAAGTCCATCAACAGTTCATGGGTTAGTTAGTCGGTCAGTTAATTGCGTCAGTCAGTATTTTAAATTATCAGGAAATTACACCAGTGCTGATTTTACGGTTTTTGACAGTCACAGTAATTATATTGTAAATATCACTATTTTATTCAACCATTTGTATAAGATAAATTTAACATTCCAAGGAAATCGGTATTTCGGTTTTTTCCAAATTGCAGGATATAAACACTTCAAATAGTTATTTATACTTTTTATTTCTAATCAAATTGTCCTGGTCTAATTTCTATGTATTTGACACTAAATTGTGATAGACACAATTTCACTATAAAATTATTATACGTTATTTAATTCGCCTTATTTGAGTTCCATTTCTTTTTTTCGATTTATCGTGTACGTTTTTTTATTCTGATTGTAGCTTAATACCGTGTGGGTATCCTGCGTAGGTGAAAATCCTCACGATAATGAAAATATCGGTGAGCTGAACTATTACCCTGAAAGTCATGGTTTTCCAGGTTATTACTACCCCTACAAAAATATTCCTGGTTACTTAAGTCCCGTCGTTGCTGTCCATTTTCTGCGACCAGCAAGTAAGTAAAATTTGAATTGGTAAAAGCTTAAAATTCTTCAGTTTGTTACCTTGACATCGTCTCTATCTACAAAGAACGTAATGCAGAATCTTCTACAACTTTTTAGGGAACAAAGTAATTAACGTGGAATGTCATGCGTGGGCCAAAAACATAATCCACACAACACTAAAAGGCGAAAAATCTGGATCGGTGCATTTCGAGCTTATGATCGATGAATGACCATCTTCATCTTCGTAAGAGAAACTTGAACGCAATAATTTGCCAAATTATAGGGGTAGCCGTCATGAAATAGATGTTCATATACTGTATAACTGGGGAAACCACTTAAGATTCAAGGACTATGGTGATCAAGAAAGAGGGATAGATAAAGATCGAATGTTTAACCTTAGTCGATGGCCGAGGGACATTTGTATACGTCTAGTTAAGAGTGTTGATATTAGTCGAAAACCATCGTCAATTTTAAATCATAAATCAATCCTAGCGGTCGATCGACGCCAGAAGTCGCGACGAACACATTGACTAATTGATGTCCAATCATTCTGCATCGAAGAGGTTTGAAATATGCGTCAAACATGTAAGTAACTGTCGAAAATTTCTACCAATTGGATCTTCGAATTCGTACATTTGCTTCGTCGCAGTAGTTAATTGTGTTTGTTGCGTACTAGCGAATATTCCTGTAAAATAAAGTTCTCATGGACTACTGCGGTAAACTGAAGCATGTGAAGAAACATATTACCTCGTTATCGATCTAAGGTTGTTTACTTATACTCTATCGTGCATGTGGATCTCGTATATGCTGTAACTAGATAACTCTTAAGTGTTTTACTTGGGTTGAGTAAAAGAAAAGCATATTTAATGTGATTCCTGCATCGGTAACAGTTTATACGTAATTGTAGCCGGCACACGAGACAACAGAAAATCGAATAATTGACAATTAGAGAATTAGAAGATTAGTTTTAAGAATTTTCAGATTTTAACAAGTTCAGTCTTGGTTATTAATAATTTTCCAGCGAGTTTTAATAATATTGCTACAACCAATTGCAATGATACAACGTCTAAATAAAATTATTTTAGAATTTGTCATATTGAAATAACAAATACAGGCCAAGCAACACTATCGAAATGCTTATTAAGAAGCAGTTTCATAAATATTTCCATGCATAGGAATTGTTTTATTCATTAACCCAATAAGTTGTTAGAATTTAATGATTGTGAAATATTTTTACTAAACTTTTGGGCAAAATTTGATCATTTCCTTTCTGGTAATATACATATGTTGCAAGTAATAGATTTTAGCATAGCAAAATCGAAATTGTTCAGTGCAAGTGCTTACAAATTTTAAACCAGTGTAAAGAAAAAAGGATTCCAGGATCTCAAAGTTGCAGCATTAAACACAGGTGCCAATAATTTTAAGAATTATACTTAGGTGTAGGTACTTATTAAATGTATGTACTTATATCGTTTATAGTGTCCTCAGTGGAAGTTTGTTGTACTTTATGCTGCTAATGGTACAGATGTATTCTGTTTAATAAATGGAAACAACTTTCGAAAATGAATAAATTCTCAATAATGATTGTACATATCATTATCACAAATATACTTGTTTTTAAAGGTGTACCTTGAAATAATATAAGAAGTAATAGAAGATTGAAAACTTGTATTCATTTAGAAGTACTAATACATCCATGGTTCAATTATGCATTTCTGTTATTTTATTCAAGGGCTAATGCGACTAATACATCGAATCAATTGTTTAGTATTATTAAGTGCCAATATGTGTACGATATCAGTGTCAAATAAAAATATCTATAGTTGATTCTGAATCGAAAATAAGAACATCTTATTTTTCATGGAAATGTTGATCATTTAAAAAATGAAGGCGAAAGAAATGATTTTAGTACTTTATTATGCTATCCTTAGAACCATAACACTTTTGTAGGGAAGATTTCTTTCCATTACTTAAAATAACAAACATATTATGCTGGCATGTTTTTAATGAGACATCTTGTATAATAATTTTACAAGTATGTACATATATCGAAATGACATTTTTTTTAATACTCACTGGTTATATAGTTTGTATGTCTAATTGCAGTTAAAGTGTCTAAATGGCTTTATAAAAATTATATGAAATTTGGGAAAAATTTTAGGGGCAGTCAGTTTCTTTATTAATCCACAAGCTTCATTGAAATATTCTGAGAAATTATTGCTATCCATATACATGCGTTATTAGCTTTCTGTGGTCAATTTTCTACAAGAACTATAAATAAAATAATTTTTCGATAAAATAAATATAAGAGATAACCTTCCATAAGGATTTTTTAAAGAGGCATTTAATTACAATTATACGTAGTAGAAATAGATGACAACAATCTGTGATTTAAACGAAGAAAGTCTTATCTATAAAAATATATGCGTACATATATGATACATTTATATACTTTAGAAGCAAAATATATATATTATCTTTGTCACGTTTAAGAGATCTATTCGCATCGGACATTAATAGGTACGAATTTTCACAATAGAAGATTCAAAAATTACAGTAATCACTAATTTAAATACTTTTATAAGCGTTTACCTTTCTCCAGTTTCTGATGGTCTCTATTTTTCACAAAATATATTTAAATATTAGTTAAGATAGAGAACTATTATTAATATTATGATTGTTTTATTATTAATTCCTTAAATATTAAAATCAGATCTTTAATCAGATTCGATTTATAATAATTATTCCTATTTTTTGGATAGAAGTAGTACATGTTAAGTAAAAGTTTTTGATATTTTCACATAGGTATGTACGATGATTTACGGATCGAACTAGAATCTGGAATAATCCAATATTCGTATAGATTAATTAAATCTTATTTATCTGATGGATACATAAATCGTGTATTAAATTTAACTGTACCGAGTAGGAGCAGTATATCTACTTTTATTTATTATTACAATTAATCATGAAAATTTCATTGTGAAAGAATACAATTACATCCATTTTTAAAATATGTTCGTATTAACACACAGTAAGCATGTCTATCCTTTGTATATACTTTTTCCATTGTATAGTTTCTATTATGTCAGATCAATGAAGAACTATCTTAATGGTACGTTTTTTTCTTTTATAAAATTCACTCGAATAAGATATGGCATAAGAAGCTGAACACTGCATACAGGTTGTATAAAACCTGAAACTTGTCTCGGTACACGAGAAACAGACTTCCGATAATACGAACACAAAAAATCCTTTTTAGTTTTGTACTTGACAAAAATTGTATCCACTTTGCCAGCTGTAATCAGTTTCTGACGGCTTCACGGCTTTATTCAATAGCATATAGGTACACCTTCGTTCATAAACATGTGGACACTTATTACCTTCAATGATTAATTAATATACACCGTAAATTATTACTATACAACCTTTATTGTATGAGATAATATTATTTCGGATACAATAAAGAAATTAATGGTATCCAAGTTTGGTAAAAGGAATTTTATCATTATCTAGTTATCTCTATGGTTTGTTTATCATTACTAATATGATGTTTAAAAAAAAAAACTATTAATAAAATATATTTACTAATGCAACATAAACATATGGAAACATAAATGATGTAATTGATATTAATAGATTCGCAACTTTGATTAGGTATTTATTTCTATTAAGGAAGTGTCCACATACTTCTGAGCGGGAGTCTATGTCGAAGAGTCAGACAATATGAGATTCGCGTTTAGCCTCTGTACGCTAACAAGGGATGGGCCAAAAAGGTGCGTGAGCCCTCTTAATCTATCATCAACTCCAAATGGACTGCGCCCATTTCATCGTTGCGGCTGTGTCTAATGTTCTTCGCCCACGCCTTGCACTCTATGTTTATTAAAATTCCAGCTGTAACAAAATATTTGCTTTTGTTTAAGTGTACCAACGTTTCTCATTAATTATCACTATTCCTCAAACTTTATCTTCCTATTATACATTTCAATTCGTGTCTTGTACTTTTGTACTATTTTAAAACATCTTTTTGTTTACATGTAATCTTGTTGTAAGTCGAATACAAAAGTACGATACACCCTTAATTCTATTAAATATTTATTTCTGATACTTACTACGTGGTCGAACAAAATGAATGGCGACCAGGGGGCTAAGGTATCCCTCGTTATTTTCATACGGATAAAAATAACCGGGAAATCCTCTTCGCGGTATATATTGAATTGGTCCTATATTTTCTTGATCGGCAGGACTTTCTCCTTCGCAGGACACCCACACGGTATTAAGTTCTAAAGAATTATTTGCCTTTAGAAGGCCAATATGGTTCTTGAGATCGACAGGCATTTTTTCTGGTAATGAATCCGTGTCGTTATAGTACTCTGGTCTCCAACCATATATCTGCAAAAATATATTTCCGTATTAACTGTTGACTAACAGAACTCGTAACATAAATATTCTAAATTAAATGTATGTTACTTGCTTCTTATTAAATTTAAGATAATAATACCTTATTAAGTTTAAGAAAAATGCATGGAGCATTTCTGTGATAATTGTATTTATTTTCTTTAGTACAAGGTCCCATATTCTTAACGTCGACGTCGCAGACCTTCCCAGGCGGTGGTGGTTGATTGTAATCACATTTATTAATGTTTGCACCTAGACCAGGAACCGAACCTGGTGTTATATAATCTGCAAAATGATCAAGAAATCCGATATAATTAAACTGAGAACAAAGTAGAAAAGGAGATATCGTGAACAAAGTAAAAATATGTAAAAATATGTAAAAATATGTAAAAATATCATTAACTAGTGTAATAACGTGTTTCATTTGATTTGTAATAATTTTGCAGATGATAAATGGGTGATTTAAAAATTTTTTTAAAGCATTTATTAATAGTAAAAATTACAGATGTATTCCAAAATCATTTTTAAGCTGTCCTAACAATTTGAATTATACCATGGTTATTACCTTTGAGAAAAGCCTGTAGGGAATCAATCCAGTATTTGAAGTTCTCGCTGTCCGTTCCCCTGTACCAGATCAGTGTGCTTTCCACATTCTCTAGTGGTGGTCTAGGCCTGAATCCTAGACCTATAAAAGGACAATGTTAATTGACAGAAAATGTTAGAAATGTATACGTGATTATTTTCAAGATTATGTGCATTATTTACCAGGACTTGTTCCAATTATCGAACGTTCCAGCTGCCACCTCGGTACCCTCGGATCCAGTGTTTGAAAAAATCCCCAGAAGCAAATTGCAACTAGTGCAGCCAGCACCCCGTAGAATATTAAATAGAACAGTCCAATTTTACCTGGAAAAAGAACATTTGTTTGTTAGCCTTTTGGCCTAATGTTAATTATTCCAATATATTATCAAAATTAGTTTTAATATTGACAGATTTCTTAGAAACTATACCTCGCCATGAAGATGATATAATAGTTAATAGTATATTAATAACATTGTAGTTTTGTCAAATTTGTTACAGGTTTATCATCAATTCACCTTGTCAATTTTTAATATTATTAACTTATACATCTAATATTTATTTGTTTGATCAATTATTTTTCTATTAAATTTTACAATTTTATTTACCTCATAGTTCATGACCTCATAAAAAAAAATATATGATTGTTTCCGTGATTGTGGCATGACAAGTAACAGCACAATACGACTCAATGTTCCTACATCCGGTGTCCATTTTCCATATTTCCGTTTTCAATTTATATATTTCCGTTTGAGGTTTATACAGTTTAAAGTTACCATGTATTGTCCACAGTATTGTAACCAGTATTGTGAACGAAATTGTATGAACGTGATTCATTGTTAATTTACTTAGTTTGTTATAGTTAATAGAGATTCAAAGGTTTAAACAAGACATTTTTGTATTTATTTATTCTAGAGTTTGTAGTTATAGAAATTCCTTATAAACCACATTATCTTTAGAATATTCTTATAAACTATATTTTTGGTCAAAATTCTTGCCTTTCAAAAAGTTTATTTCAAATAATAGGTATTTGTAGAGTAAACATATCAAATTTCGCCACACAAGCTTAAACATTTTTTCGTACAGATCACTCACCATGGATTTAAGATAAATTTTATAAAAAGATAATAGTTATTATTAATATTTCCAGAAAATTAAACAGCCTATACTCTTCGTCAGAACATAAAGAACAATTAAAACAAAACTTCATCTGGATTGAACAACAATAGTAAGAGTTATAAGAAAATCACAAACATACACATTTTATATTAATATAAAATTACAGGCTCCTTGACATTTCCTTAAATTATATTATCGAGTATCGTTCTGTATGTATTAGGTTGTCCGAAAAGTTTCTTTCGCTTTATTAATAAGTAATACATGCACAATAGTTTATGTTGTATATTACATTACTGAATTGTGCACGATTCATTTTGCTCCATTGCTGTTACAACATGAATATACAGGGTGTCCCAAAAGTCGGGAAGGAGCCGGAAATGGGGGGTAGCTGAGACGATTCTGAACAACATCCTTTGCAAAAATGTCGGATGGGGCTTCGTTAAGGAGATATTAACGGGAAACGTCGACCAATCAGAGCGCTCGGATACCGGTGGAGCGGCCACGGTAGCGAAGGCTACGAGCTAAGCGGCCGGGCTTGTACGCGAACAAGTGACTCAACGTGCATCGAAGGACATTGACGCTGCCGCCTAGCGCGTAGCCTTCGCTACCACGGTCGCTCGAACGGTCTACGTGCGCTCTGATTGGTCGGGGTTTTCTCTTAATATCTCCTTAACGAAACCCCATCCGATATTTTTGCAAAGGAAATTGTTGTTCAGAATCGTCTCAGCTACCCCCCATTTCCGGCTCCTCCCCGACTTTTGGGACACCTTGTATATGAAATTAGATTGTCTATTTATGTAAACACGACCACATAAAATAATTGAGTGCAACTCGCGAAAGAAACTTTCGGGACAACCTAATATTATAGTCTAACTCGTAAATATTTTTAGCTCCCTGAACTTCGTACAAGTAATTACGATGATACTTGAGACGATTCTTCCAAAACCCCAGCAGAGGGTTAAATGTCGGGAGTAAATCGCTGTGAGTTTTATGAGACGTCTGTTACAGTGGAGGAATTAATCAGCGCGTGGTGGTACTCCGTATAATATGGGTTAATTGCATTAATCGTTGGTTCAATTCAAGGGAAGATCAAAGCGTGGTGGTCAAGTGGAGCAATTCAATTACGAACCGATTCAGTGTCTCGCAAGGTCGCTTCTTGGATTCTATTCCTTGCTGAAATGACCTCCGTCGAGTATTGCTTTCGTAAGAAGAATTTTAAGTCCTTGGACTTGCACGATGGAACTATTAGTACGCCAGTAGATCGAAAATGCTTCGGAAATTTCGTAAGGGTTCTAATCATTTTTTTTACTTACTATTGTTTATCACAAAAACTAAATGTAGAAAAATAATACTCCTTTTTTCTCAACAATATCGTTAGATTCTTTATTCTTGGGTTTTTTCTTGTTTCTTAGTTTTGAAAGTAAGTTCAGTTTAGTTGGCAAAAATTCTTATTCTTGAATATGTTTATTATTCATTCTACATTTCAAGAGATCAAACAATAATACTAACTGATAAACTTTTGCTTTGAAAATTTCGTACCAATAGTTTCATGGCGATAGTCATAACGATGCTAATAACTTTTTTATGTTCCATTGTTTGTCACAAAAATCAAATACAACAATGCAATGCATACAATAATATTTAACTCGTACATTTAAAACATTTATGTTGCAAATATTAGAATATTTTCGTGATTATCTCATTAAATCTAGAATATTAACATTAATTTGAACGATAATAGCGATCCTCTGGATTTTCAATGTTCGTAGACTGCGTCGAGCAGCTTCGTGCTCCGTGTGAAATTTAATTTTATCGATGCTACGAATATCAGACACACAATGCACAATGACGGTACTCGCTACCTCTGCATGTCGACCTATTGCGACAATCGAATGAAATTGTCATGTCGGTACTAACCGTATATCTGCATTGTGTGTTACGATTCATTTATAAAATCACGAGGAAATATGATATATGGAATCGTGATAGTTAACTAGTGTATTGTATTACCGACGTTCCCCACGTGTAAAGTAATATTTGCAACGAAGTATGTGGAAGGATGGAGTACGTTTATATCGAAAAAGGATGGTTTCGGTCGCAATGATAATTCATTGAAGGAATCACGCAGCATACTAAAGAAATTTACTTTGTATTTGGAACTTAGGGATTTTTTTTTTTTTAAATTGAGCACTACAAAAAGTAGAAATTATGAATGTTCACTTGTGTTAGATTTTTATCTGGTTGAATGGTATTGTTAATCCCTTAACTCTTTGGGGCACGGTGAGATTAAAAGTGTCCCACCTTTTTGATGGACCGTAATGCACGGTGGAACATTTTTAATCCCACCTCGAAATTTTGCCATAGCTGCATGTGTACAGGTTTATATTTCGCCTTATTTACGTAAAGCAGATGGTAATATATTCATCCAATGTTACAAATGTATGCACGTTATGTTGACAATGTTATGTTGACAACTTTCAACATGCTAATACCGGTTCAACAATTGTTGGAAGCGGAAGGTTTATTGCGATGATATTTCTTTCTTGGTTTTATGTGAAAAATCGTAGAGGTAAGTTAATTTATATAAAAATTAGTTCTATATAAACAAGTGAAGTGTTTTATAATAAAAACTAGATTAAATTTGTTTGCAAATGATGAAAGTATGGTGGAATTTTATTCGTCCCACCATGCAACTTGGGGAGCAATACAAAAAAACATATTTTTATTTATTGTTTATGTTTTAATATTCTTAAAACTATGAATGTGACGCCCCTTGTTATTATATTTATTTTGTTACATTATATGATACCTTTATTAACAAAAATATAACAATTTTGTTTGATTTGAAACGCAATAAAATTCCTGTGCAACATGAGTCTATTTTATGACCTGAATTCCTGTGCCGCAAAGAGTTTAACCTACAGCCTGAGATCAAAACTTAAACAAGATCGCTCAGCCTTCGAGCCATTCCACGGTTCGGCAAATCGGACCTAACAATAAGTTGTACCAATCGCGCACGACTTACAGAATCGAAGTACATGTGTAAGATACAACTAGTTTAATTTTGCGAAATATTTGATAATTAATTACAACCTGATGAAATAACTGTGATAGATATACCACAAGATGTTTATTATCTATCAATAAAGTATAACACAAATCAATAACATTTATCTCTAATGTCTGAATAAATTAGCAATTCAAATAATTAGCGATTATACAAAAATGAACAATCGTCAATGGTGTGACGTTACAAGTCGCGACCACCGTACCACGAGCCAGGCTCCTAATGTTTACATTGAGCCCGAATACAAGACCACGTGGCTCACACGTAGCTGTAGGTTAAGGGGTTAAACTAAATTTAAAATAAAAATTAAGAATTATGAAATTGTTCATAGTATTACATTTTTGTCTAATTGAATCACATTGTAAAAATGAATCGAGAACAATAATTAGACATTACGAAAATATTCACTGCATCCGATTTTGATCTAGATGTGTCACATATATTTAAACTAAATTGTCTTGTTTATCATATAAAACTTAGAACAGAAGAGGATGTAAAACCCTAAATTACTGTAGCATGTTAATCAGTTACGCTGCAGGAAGTAGACTACGCGAACCGGTAATTGATTAGGCTTGAGTTCTGCAATGTGTCAATGGCAATCATTCTGTGAATGATGGTAAATTGTTTTGACTAGCCTTCAAACATTTATTATTACAGATTTATGTAATCTATTAATTCAGGAATTGTTTCTGAAGAGGGTTTTTCCAATAAAAGAAAAGAAAAAAATAATAAATGCTCGAAGAATACTCAGGATGAATTACTTGTATTATTCGACAAGCATTTTGTTGTCTAATTTTCGTCGTCTTGAAAACTTATTGTAGAATATGTTAGTAAAGCGTAGATATCTTACGGTTACATCTTATATTCATTATTTTCTTTATTATTTTTATTCTTATTCTTTTCTAATACTTGTTATCCTTTCATACTTATATTTGTTATTTTTTTCATTCTCTTTTTCTAATACTTATTATCCTTGCATACTTATATTTGTTATTTTTATCATTCTCTTTTTCTAATACTTATTATCCTTTCATACTTACATTTGTTATTTCTATCCTTTTCCTTTTCTTTATTGATTAATTATAACACTTCATGTTTCCAGTATTTCCTTCTAGTTTTCACTAATTTATTTTATTCTTTTCTCTAATTAATATCGTTTCTTTTAGATCAGGCCTGTCCACGGGTGGAGCCCCTCGCGCAGTTCCTTCCCCCACTACCGCGCATGGAGGGAGTAAGAGCTGAGAGAGAAAGACGTCAGTATAGATCAGAACGTAGAGCAGAGTAGATCGAGATAGTCTGCGCCGTCGGAGAACGCGCATCCTAATTGCTATAGAGTGGGGGAAGCTCTTGGGCACGTGCACCACTCGCAGTGGACAAGTGTCTTCCAGATTATTAAGGTAATTGCATTATTGTATCTGATGTAGACTACCAAACTACAATAGATATTTTATACAGAAATTAAATTTAAATAATGTATATTTATAGTGAATTATTATATTGGATAATTATATTTCTGCTGATATCGTGTTTGCCTTTTTTGAGATTAGATGATTAGAATAGTATTCAGTTACACGTAGTTGAAATTTGTGCTTTTATCTTCTAAAAGGGCACAGAACAAAAATGCGTTCACGCAATCACATTTACTATAAAATTGTTTGATTGTTTAATCTTAAAATTTTTGTAAAATATGATTTTGGAAAATTGTTTTCCCTTGCAAACAATTTATCCTAATTAGTTTTCTTTCAAATACTCGCATAGATTAGAAATATTTACGTATCCTCCATTTTAATCATTCTTTTTATTTTTAAACATTTCACTCTGTGTTTTTGAAGGATAATTGAGCTTAGATCAGATTCAAATTAACATACAAGAATTGTCTCACAAGCTCACTAAGCAACGCGGTAAATGGTATTACGAACTCGTATCAAATTCCTTATATCCATGTCAATTGCGATCTTGATGGTTATCGTAGTACACATAACAAAACATTGAGAAACATAGAGCAGAATATGTAACACACAAATTTCATTCGTGCATTTTACTTTGTTAAACTTCCTATTTGATAGAAAGTAAGCTCCAAAAGAAAAACACAACAAAATAATTATGTTTGGGAACATTTCAGAAATGTAATAATGTTAATGTAATGTAAAAGTCAATCCTCAAGCTTCTAATTTTCAGAATTACACTATTAGAAGCACTATTCAATTAAAATATGCTAACGTGTATAAGTACTCTAACTCCTCCAGAAGCAAATCACTGGATTCCATACACTACTTGTATTATTTGGTCTCTGGGTGCGACCCCAGACCAATTCTAAGAAATTCTTAACGTACAAACTGTGTAATGTAGAAAGTTACAATTCTAATATCCGAATATATTTACTTTGGAGTATATCTTGTAAAATTTGTTTTGAAGAATATTGCAAAATGCCGTCGCAAGAGATATTCCTCGACATAGCATTTTTTTAGCTGGCCTTCACAGATTCTCAGAAACTACCGATTCAATCGACATCAAATTTAAAGCTAAATACTCTTACAATACATTATCTTAAATATAGCATGAGATTTTGTCGATATTTTATTACAATCATCACTTGCAAAATTTTCAATCTTACGTTATCAATGAAAAAAATTAAGTCTTTTCCCTTAACTTTATTATAATTTCTCCAAAAATGAACGTTTTCAAAAACACTCACGCTACATTTCAAATAACATATACATAAGATATGTATAAGAGTAGTCTTAGCATATACAGTGGGTGTAGAATGTATTCGTACACCGATCAATTTCCCAAAAAACTTTTGTGTGAAATTGTAGTTTCTTAACTTCTTTTTTTATAATCAATGATATTTTACATATTCTCGGAAGTCTCTAAGATAGATATAACCCAAACAACATTTACTAGTTAATATAATTTGTGAGATTAACAAAAAAAGTGCGAAAAGTGGGTAAAAGTATAGAAGCAATAAGTATTTGTACGATTCTTGTGACTAGACTGCGGATCTTTATGCAAAATAAAATCTTCGCGAACGTGCCTTCAAAAATTGAACTTAAATAGGAATTTGTTTTATTCTGCAAATATTATAACACGAACTCTACTTTCAATCTTTTTTATATTCTTGCATATTGTTTGCATTTTGTAGTTTCTTGCACATTCAAATTTTCTATAAATGCATAAAGATCCGCAGTCTACTTATGACGAACCATTTACAGTAGAGTTTGTAACGTAAACACATTAGTTTATTACTCCGTACGAATTAGAAAACATCAAATTTCCAGTAAAGTACTTTTAAAAATGGCTCTGATAGAGGAATTGAAGATCCCACTTCGTATAACTAATGATGTAGTTAATTTAATGCTTAGAAAAGTTACAATAATTATAAAGTCAAAAGTACATCCCACGAAGGAAGTATTATATACTTATAAATTAATGTAAATTTCTTTTTTTTTTTTTAATCAAGTTTTAAAAATTAAACAGTTGTGCGAATACTTGTTGCTTCAATATTTCTATCGATTAATTGTTTTTTTTTTTTTTTTTTTTTGTTAATTTCGCAACTTAGATAAATAGCTATTTTTTTTTGTAATCTATCTATTCTAGAGATTTCCGAGAATATGTAGAATGTCATTGTTTATAAAAAATAAGTTAATAAATTACAATTGTACATGGTTTTTTTTTAGATAAATTGGTCAGTGTACGAATACTTTCTACACCCACTGTATGAAGTCGATCGAACTGGTAGTTCTTTAGATTTCTAGTCAGCTGTAAAAGAATCATTAAATTACAGTTATAAATGATTGAATATATGTATAAACACAGAATTAATTTCTAGACCTAATAACTCGAGATTTGCGCTATTTTTTACAAGAAACGATGAATTTTTTTTAACAAAAGCTAGAAGCGTTAGAAAAATCACCCTTTTCTCGTCGATATGGATTCAACTTGAGATATTTCCATGGGGTTGACGCTGAACGAAATCAACGGTATGGTCGCGTGGGTGTACCCTTCGGAATGGCCCTAAGTTACATAATGTCGTAATGCCTCCATTTAACGCCAATTGACCTCGTTGTACACGTTTGCGCTAAAGGAAGTTTAACAATTGCCATTCAGCTGGGCAAACCGTTGTGTGGACCGCGAATTAACCGCGCTTCACGCTTCCGTCTTTTTCTATCTCGCTTTTATTTTTGTTCGCCGTGTGTACGTTTACTTCGAACAAATAGACGATAGGTGTGCTCGATACCAAGTATGTTTCCTTAAATTATTGAATTACGCGCGAGTAGGGGGAGAAACAGTGTCCACTTTGAAATTTCCCACGGTCCCACGCGAGAGAGAGATACATGAATAGACTTTTGTTCATCAGTTTTGTTACTATGGAATCCGATTTGGGACACAAGGCTATTTGATATATTTTGTCTCATTGATTTTTGCGCATTGTATAATTTGGGGAAGATAATAATATATTTGTGGTTTTCTTTGCTATTGCAATTCATCTTATTATATTAAACAATTTTCATCTAAATATATCTTGTACAACTGCTTTTATAATTCAATGAACGACGTTATTTACCTACAATGTTCATCATTTTTCATTCACTTTCTGTAAAAGATAATTGTAAATAGTAAATTTGATCGAACTTCTTGTTTGTAATGAGATAATCTTGTCTGGAAGTCGATATAAAATTAAAATAAAAAGTTATTATTTTGGCGCAGTAAACTTTTAGTGAATAAAAACATCGTACTATAGAAATTGAATGAAAATTGTTGAAACATGAATACATTTATTAGAAAACAGTATTACGTTTTATGAAAAATTCGAGACCAACGAAGGGTATGCCTAATTATTATTAGAAAACTGCAGTAGCAAATGCAATAATGTCGAGGTTTTCTGAAGTCCAAGGATGAATGATGGGTCACGTTTTGACACTGAATGCAATTTGCAAGAAACTGCAAAAATGGTGACAGGCTTCTGAGCTAATTAAGCGAAGGAAAACGTAATCTGACAGTTCACTCTGGATTTCTGTGGGTCTTCTGTGTGCTATTGAAATAAATTCCAACAACTGCTGCCACATGATCGTTGATCGGATTGCAAGACTAAGAGACCACCTTGGTACGTGACAATGAAAATTTTAAAGCGGCTCGTATTTCAAAGCGTAGCTCTCAACTCCATAAAAATGTAAACCTTGTCCAAATATTATGCCGATGGAATTCACGTGCAACCCTCGAGGCAGAAATCGCAGACGAAATCCAAATCCAAATTTCGTCGAAATCTTATACGATATAACATTTACAGCTGACGAGCAAAACAAATAGTTGAATCACGAGAATGCTAATAACGAAATGTTTCATTGCAGCGTGAATCCTGATTTAGGTTTAGATAATGTCACCATAAATCTTTTTAACGCTGGCGATAAAGATAGTTGCTTCTCCATAAATAAATACACTTTTAAGTAGGGCTGAGACTATTTGAACAATTGAAGGCATGGAAATTGTAGGTACTCGAATACTGTGAATAAACTTCGAATATTTGAGTGTTCTGAATATTTTAATATTCGAGTGTGCAGGTATTGATGTTTTAGATTGTTTTAGTATTTGGAATTGAAATACTCGAGTAGTTCAGTATTTGAATATTTATGTATTGGAGTGTTTAAATGTGTAGATATTGAAGTATTTAAATATTTTAGCATTTGAGTATTCAGACATTGTAGTATTACAATGTTGCAGTATTGAAATCGAAATACTCGAGTAGTTGAGTATTTGAATATCATTATTCGAATATTTCAACATTAAAATATTATTACTCAGATATTGTTTTAAAAAAAAAAATCTATATGACTATTACTTATTATTATAAATGTAGGCACATTAATTTTCTGTTACCAGAATATAAATATACAGAATATCAGTTAGTGGCATATTTAAAATGAAAATAGAACATAATAAAAAGACGATAAATTAGAAATACATAATTTTTCATCCACATCGAATACTAAAGTATTCAAATAGTCAGTTTACATTAACAAATTATCACTTGCTTGTGCCTCAGTACTATTATAGTTAAATAATTTTTTTTTGTACCTTTGTGTCTGTTTTATATGTTAAGTTATAATTGTTTCCCTTAACATCATACAAGTCAGTTAGTAATCCAGAAATGACTATTGAATATGGTTCAAAATAAGAATCGATACATTTAACTATTATCAAAGCTAACAATTGCTCGTAGCGCTAATTGTTCGTTTATTAAAACTGACTAAATTGCCACGTTTTATTTAAATTATATTCATCGTATATTTGAATATCCAAAATGTTCGAATAATAGATTGAAACTAAATTTAATAAACAGCCCCATCTAAGATAAATTTTATAAAAAGATAATAGTTATTATTAATATTTCCAGAAAATT